TAGAAGTTTAGTTCATTCAAGGCTGTCATATTCGTTCATAACTTTATTATTACCGGTAGTAAGCCTGAGAGCTACTGGATCCAACCAAAAAGTTACTGGAATGCACCCTTTCAAAATAAGAGTTCCCAGATCCTGTTCCAGCAGGATCCAGCTCAAATTAAGCCCTGCTCTCGCCCACCTGGAGCAGAAGGACTCTTATGTCCATATGCTCTATGTGGACTTCACGTCTGCCTTCAACACTAAGATCCCCCAAACCCTGATGGACAGGGTTTAATTTGTTAACTGATCAATGCAGGAACGCAAATAGCAGGTATCTATTCACACTAGGACTAAGCCCCTCCATTTGCAACTGGTACTAGACTTCTTAACAAACAGACCACAGTCTTTGAGGATCCAAAACTTATCTTCCTCCACCATAACCCTCAGCACTGACTCCCCTCAGGGCTGTGTGCTGAGCCCTCTCCTGTTCACTCTGCTCACGTTTGACTGTGCAGCTACCCATCCAGGCTGTCATATTTTAAAGTTTGCAGATGATACAGCAGTGGTGGGATGCATCACAAACAACGATGAGTCCTACTACAGACAGGAGGTGGAACACCTGGAGAGCTGGTGCAGGAAGAACATCCTTCACATCAATGTGAAGAAGATGGAGATGGTCGTGGACATAAGACGGTCTAGGAAGCTCAGTCCTCACCTCCTTCTACAGGTGTGCAGTGGAGAGCATCCTGTGCTCCAGCATCAATGTGTGGCATGGAGGCTGCACAGCTGCAGAAAGAAAAGCTTTGCAGAGAGTGGTGAAGGCTGCACAGAAATCTGTTGGAATCAGCCTCCCCACCATCACAGACATTTACATCTCCAGATGCAGGAAGAGGGCCACCTGCATCATGAAGGACCCCACTCACCCAGCACACACACTTTTTGCCCCACTCCCCTCAGGAAGGAGGTTAAGGAGCATTAAGTGTAGAACCACTAGACTGAGGAACAGCTTCTACCCTGAGGCTGTTAGACTCATGAATCTCTAACCAGAATAATCACTGTGAAAAATCATATCATGTTGCTGCTGATCTGTTTCATGTTGCTGCTGATCTGTTTAAATGTTGATGTGTTCATGCGTGCACATCTGATGTTCATGTTTGTGCTGATGTTCAATGTTTTTATGTTATGAGTGCTTAGTGTATATTTAGTTGATGTTTTCTTAGTTCATATCTTAGATGTTATTACTGTTTTTCTTATACATTTTATTGTTGGATGTAACTGGGACCTTGTGTACATAATTTCGCTCCACCACATGTACCCCATGAGGTGCGAATGACAATAAAGAAACTCTGACTCTGACTCTGACTCTGACTCTGAATTTACTAACAAAACACCATGCTTTCTTCATTTTAATAAGGATGTGGAATTATATGTAAAGTTAATAACAGACTCTACCAACAACAAGGCCCTTAGGACAATTTTTTATCTGTAAATCTTTGCAAATATTTGTTTAAAAATCACACCCCTCGTTGTTTGTTCATGTAAGTGTTGTGTTCGTCTGTATACTCCATTCATTTGTTTGTTGTATACTTGTCATTTGCTTTAATAAAGATTATAAAAATTTTAAAAACACTTCTGAGGTTAAACAAACATTATTGTTTAAAAAAACTACAATCCCAGAAGGCTGTGGGAGGGACCAGACTGTCAGTGATTGGCGGAGAGTAGCGTGACGAAACTGGTTGTTTTCCATTTATTCGCGCGCTTGCGTGTGTCGCGTGCAGACTTAGGAGTAGTGGAGAAGCGCGTGAGCCTCCTCGGAGCTGCAGCTTGTTGAAGGTGGGTGTGACTGACAACATGGTGGTTTTAACTAATTTAAGCTCCACTAAACGGCTCCGTTTAAGTCCTGTAAGGAAATACAGAAGAGTGAAAAGAGTTTTTATCGCAGTTGATATATATTTTCCGTATATTTATATTTGAGCGTTTCAAACTAATAATAAGGTTTTGGCGGCATCCTTTTGATGTTATTGTGTATTTGTGGTGTTTCAGTGACAGAATGGCGTTTGTTTCTGTCGACGGGTTCGCCTTTTGTTCGCCGGGAGGCAGACAGTTGGCTCAGACGGACACGAGACGACTGCTTGGCGACATCTGCCCTCCTTTTTTAGTTTCTTCTATCAGTGATGTTCATTTTGAGCTCGTCTTCGCGCCATCACGGCGCCTGCGTGTGTGGAAACGTTGTTTTAACTGAATCTTTGTGTTGCACGTTGTGGAGCTGAGAGCCTCTTTGTCTGTGCAGCTGCTCTCAAAGCGCCATTGTTTGCAGCTGCTGGTCGTGAACCACACCAATGTACATTTCATCAGCAGCTCCATGAAGTGAGCTGGCCTCTGGATACATGGATGGACGTTAGTGTAAGGTGTTTATATTCACATGTCCAGGTAAACAGCTGTCGGCCTCTGAAATCCCAGAGGAAGTTCCTTTTTTTTTAAATGAGGTGAATCAATAAATTCACTCAAAGCTGTCCACTGACCTGACAGCTGCTCATGTCTGTCACATTCATTTATTTAGTGCATGCTCATGTAAAGTATTGAGCTGGCTTTTGTTTTCCATGTGTTCCTCCATGCCCCACCCTGCCCCCCCAGCTCCAAACCCATGCTGCCTGAACAGGTGCTCCCTGTTGGTTCCGTCTGCATCTTTCCACCATTGTTGGACTGTTCAGGCTCCGTCAGCATCTGGCGCTGCCTCTCCGCTCCACAGCCTTTTGTCTCGGAGCAGAGACCACATGTCTTTAAGAATGAGCGTGGCAGCAGATTGGGCCTCACCCTGCCGGTCTACGGTGGGTTCGTGACCCCACACTGATCTGAACATCAGTGAGTTTGAACGTAAACAAAGGAGCTGGATGTCTGGGCTGGTTTGTGTGGACTGATGGGCGGTGGTTGCTTGCAGGGATCAGTGTTGCCACCTGGCGTCACTGGTGGGGCCAAATGTGCACAAATGGTGCCAACCATCCACTAGAGGCTGCTGACTGACGTCACTACTTCTTGTTTTCCTGCTCCAGGTGTTTAACCCAGCAGAACACTTTAAAAAATGGCAGCCTCTGAAGGTAAACGTTCCCTTTAATTAAAACTGATTTAAGCAGGCGGAAACTGTCTGCGTCTTGATGTCCGTTTTTTTTTTTTTTGTTGGTCTTTTAGATATTCAGGTGAAGGAGCTGGACAAGCGAGCATCCGGCCAAGCGTTTGAGGTCATCCTTGGTGCTCCTGCCCCTGATGGGAAAGGCGACTTCCCTCTGTCTCCCCCCAAAAAGAAGGATGTCTCGCTGGAGGAGATCCAGAGGAAGCTGGATGCTGCAGAGGAGAGGCGCAAGGTAAAAACTTGTAGGTTGAAATAGCCTTTTTTTATTTTTTTTTTTTACTTAAGCTTTTGTAATTGTGGTAAATCTTCCCATCTGTTTTCAGACCCATGAAGCAGAGGTTCTGAAGCACTTGGCAGAGAAGCGTGAACACCAGAAGGAAGTGCAGCAGAAGGCTATGGAGGAGAACAATAACTTCAGCAAGATGGCCGAGGAGAAGCTCCAGCAGAAGATGGAGGCCAACAAAGAGAACCGCACAGCGATCATGGCAGCCATGAATGAGAAATTCAAAGAGAAGGTTGGTCATTTCTGCTCGGCATGTACGGAGCGATCTGCTGCCACACGTTAACGTTTTATTTATTGAACAGGACAAGAAGCTGGAAGAGGTGAGGAAGAACAAAGAAACTAAAGATCCCTCAGAAGAAACCTCGGAGGACTGAAGGCAACAAACGAGGGATTGTTTACTGTTTTTTTTTTTTTACGTATCCAAAGATTGCTTTATTTTTATTTTTTTGTTCACCCGGTATCGTTTTTCACTATTCACCTTTTTGAAATACAAGTTGTGACTATTCCAGATCTCCTGCTAGAAGTGTACTTGCGCTGGTAGTTCGTGTGGATCATTCCTCCTGGTGTTCTGTGACCATCTGATGCGTAGCTTTCGTCACTGCAGCTTCATCCCCCTTCCTTTTTTTTTTTAAAATGGAAAATTAATGGCGTGTCCTTGCCTTCTTGGGAAGCATGTTTCTATGCATCAATCTTTTTATTGCACCCGTTTCATAGTGCGTTTTTAAAACCGTCTGTGAACCACACCTGTTCTCGGCACTTCCTGTATATTTAAAAAGTAGCACAAGGTTCTATCGAGGTGTCGGCTCTTCGGTACGCGGGTGTCTCTAACGCAGCCTTGCTACCCAGATTCTGCTCATTTTTCTCGTGCAGGTCGTGTTTTTGTGCCACTTCTGATTCTTGGCTTTTTGTAAATAAAAGAAGGGTGTTATCTTCAAAGCACACGACTCTTTGCTGTGTAGCTGTGGATCAACATGGGACTGTGAAGAGCGGGGCTCCATCTCAAACGTCACCAAGCAGGCGTGTGCACGTGGAATGCAAGAGAGCAATACATGGCATTTCAATAGGAAGTGACTCGTTGACCTTCGTTTGTTGTACTAAAACAAATAAAAGTGTGAACGTCTTGGTTAATTTGTCTGAGATTTCATTGCTCCAAGATGAAGAAAAAAATCCAAAGTAATGGTCTTTATCTGATTAAACTTAAAGGTACAGTGAACAAGAAATCATGACCTTGATTTTAATTTTAACTGCATGAATATTTTAGCAAAATTTCCAAACTGCATTCCTATTGAATGCAACAATTTAAAGCACTTTCTTGCCTGACTGATTTGCTATTGATGTTTATTTTATATTAATCTTGATCAAAGCATATGTTAAGATTTGTTGGCACACCAAATTTTAGCTCTATGTAAAAAGTCCTAAATGTTTAAATTTGGTCTGGCAGCCATCTTGAGTTGAACCCAACAGGTTGTAGCTGTATATCCAGTTACTGTAAAGATTTCAAAATCCCTCCGGTGATGTGACGTATTTTGCAAGGAAGACAACAGGAAGCCTAATGCTGAAGTTTTCAGCATTCACTCGTCCATTCAACCTTTATTTATAACGGCTAGTCTCACTGAGCCATGAGGACTCATTCAGAATAGACTCCTGTTCCAGACTGAACATATAAAATAGAGTAAAAAGAATAGTGTAGGTAAAGAACATTTTGCAGAAAGCCCTCCTATTAAATGTTGCAAATAACTCTCTGGTACTACCGCACCATATTTGTTTGTTTAGATTAACAGGCATATTTTTGGGTAGACTCCAGAATAGTTACTAGAGCACACAACCAGTGACTTTAAGAATGTTGTCATTAAAAGCTGTCCAGTTAATATTTAGCTAAGAAACGCAAAGGGTGACAAATATTGCTGTTGTCTTTACTGGGTGCTGAAGATGTGCTTGATGGTTTGAAACTAGCACTCAGACACATCACAGCCTTTGGCTCCCTCTGCTGATGAAAGTCTACATTCAGCCTTTCAAACCAAGTTTGCATGTACCAGTACATACATTTGTATGAAGTAAATGATCAACTGTGTGGCCGCTTTATGTACAGTAATTGTTAAACGTAAAGCAGCTTATGAAATAAAAAATTTCTGTGTAAGTACAACCATGTGTAACATCTACTAGTACTAGTAGTCATAATAGTACGATGCTGGTTGGAGACTAGACTTTCAACCCGTCGTACAACAATGTCTGTTCTATGTGAACTAGTACGAGATATTTACTTTTACTCCTTTTCATAAAGACTTCTCTCCTTACAGGGTCTGCATTCAGTCTTTCCCTGTACTTGTCCTCTCCTTGCTGGACATCTGCCACTCTGACAAGAAATGGTCAAATAACGTTTAATATGCACAGTATTACAAACTTATGTATATATATATATACACACACAGTGCCTTGCGAAAGTATTGGGCTCCCTTGAACTTTTCAATCTTTTGCCACATTTCAGGCTTCAAACATAAAGATAT